TCCGTTTACGATTTACCAAAATATATAACAAAAAAATACGAATTGCCACCTGGAACGTACGCAGCTTATACATGGCAGGAAAACTGGCAAATGTCGAAGCAGAAATGTCCAGATTGAACATCAATATATTAAGACTCAGCGAAGTTAGATGGCCTGGATCTGGCATGCAGAAAACAAGCAACACTGTCATATGCTACTCTGAAGGCTCAGATACCAACCATAGATATGGAACGGCCATTCTTGTAAATAATGTAGTTGCTGAATTAGTTGCAGAGTTTATACCCTTAAATGACCGGGTTATGATGCTGAAACTGCAAACCTCGCACCGAGCGCTGAATGTCATACAAGTATATGCGCCAACGAATGACAAGACGGATGCAGAAACGGAAGAATTCTACTCCAAAATAGATGAAGCTATGCGGCTCACAAAGAAAGGAGAACTAACCATGGTCATTGGTGACTTTAATGCAAAAGTCGGATCCGGTGCAGAAGATGATACTGTAAGGCAGTATGGCCTGGGTAAAAGAAATACTAGGGGAGATAGACTCGTCCAGTTCTGCGCCAAAAATAATCTCCTTGTCGCTAATACGTTCTTCAAGCAACATCCTAGAAGATTATACACCTGGAAGTCTCCTGCTGATGCCAGAGGAAAAATCTTAAGAAATCAAATTGATTTTATCCTAATAGGAACGAAGCTGAGAAAATATGTGCAAACAGTAAAAACATATTCTGGTGCAGATATTAACAGTGACCACAACCCAATCGTCATGGACTTCCGAATGCGATGTCTTACAAAAATCAGGAAGGCGAGAACACCACAAAAGATAGATATCAGACAGCTGCAAAAACCAGACATGCAGACACACGTGAGCTCCAAACTCGAGGATGAACTGAAGAAAATTCAGAGACCGAAACAAACCACGGTGGAAATAGAAAGAACCTGGGATAAGCTAAAGACCACCATAACGGAGATACAGGTTCAGGACATCGGATTCCCCGAGGTAGGAAGAAAAAAGGAGTGGATGACCACGGAAATTTTAGAGCTCATGACCGAAAGAAGGATACAAAAACCAAATCCTCGGCTATACAAAGAAATCAATAAAAAGATCAAAAGAAAATGCAGAGAGACAAAAGAACAATGAATGTCTTTGCCTTGCATGAGAAATGCAAGGAAATCGAAGTACTTCAAGAAAAACATGACGCGTTCAATGTGCACAAAAAAGTAAAAGAAATGACAAATCGTGCCCGAAGACATCAAGTTCTAACTCTACGAGATACTAACAACGAAATAATCGGGAGTGGAAGCAAAACTGCAAGTATGGAAGAGATACGTGGAGGAGCTCTTTGATGACGACAGACCAAATACGCCGCCGCAAGTAGACAAAAACATAAATGAGTGCGGCCCAAAAATTACCAAGGACGAGGTTGTCCACGCAATAAAAGCTCAGAAAAACGGAGAAACCACTGGCCCAGACAGCGTATATGCTGAAGTCATCAAATTGATACTCTGTCTAAAAAGACTCAGGCCTCACGCTGTGATGACTATCGCATGATTAGTCTCATGTCTCATGTTCTAAAAATATTCCTTAGAATAATTCACACCCAAATCTTCAGGAAATGCGAGTACCAGCTGGATGAAACTTAATTCGGATTCAGGAATGGTCTTGGCACCCGCGAAGCGTTGTTCTCCTTGAACGTACTAACACAAAGATGCAGAGACATGAACATCAATATATTCGCATGCTTCATTGACTATAGAAAAGCATTCGACTGCGTCAAACATCATAAGATGATAGAGATTCTTAGAGCGACTGGGATCGACAGAGAAGAAATACGCTTAATCTCAAACCTCTACTGGCAACAAACCGCAGAAGTTAGACTGGAATCAGCAACGTCGGAAACAACTTTCATTAAGAAAGGAGTGCTGCAGGGATGCGTCTTATCACCACTACTATTCAATATATACTCGGAGGCTATTTTTAAGGAAGCTCTAGAGGGAATTACTGGTGGAATCAGGATTAATGGCAGGTCGATTAATAATATCAGATATGCTGACGATACCGTTGTGTTAGCAGAGAACATGCATGACTTGCAAAACATGATGGACCGCATAGTTCGACACAGTGAAAGCTTTGGCTTCTTCACGAATACTACGAAAACCAAAACCATGGTTTTCTTTAAGACACATGTGCGTGCACATCTGATTATTAAGAGGGCAACTGTGGAACAAGTCTCGTCCTTCAAATATCTTGGAACCATCATGGAACAGTCTATATGACCCTAAGAAAGAGATCAGATCAAGAATCGAGCAGGCTAGGAGAACATTTACGAATATGAAGACGTTCTTCACGAGATCGGATCTAAGTTTGGACCTCAGGATCCGTATGATCAGATGCTACATATTTTCTACCCTGTTATACGGTTGCGAAAGCTGGACTCTTGACCCAAATATGGAAAAGAAAATAGATGCTTTCGAGATGTATCTGTACCGTCGTATGTTGCGCATATCATGGGTAAATAAAATAACCAATGAGGAAGTCCTCAGCCATATGCATAAGCAGAAGGAACTCATGTTAACAATTAGGGAGAGAAAGACGAGATATATAGGACACCTGATGCAAGGAGAAAAATACGAACTCATGCGACTGATCATCCAAGGGAAGATTCAAGGGAAAAAATCCATCGGCAGGCGCCAAAATTTCTGGCTGAAAGACATCAGAAGATGGTTTGGCTGTACTTCAGTGGACATCTTTCGCATGACCGTATCTAAGACTATGTTGGCCATTTGGATCGCCAACTTTCATAAGAAGAAAAAGCCGTCATATGCATGGTTTCTAATATTTTTTTTTGGCCGTAAAATCACGTGGTGATTCTATATGGCCGTTTGCTATCAAAGCATTTTGTGACGAGTCATACTGCATATGGAAAGAAAAATGAAGGTCATAAGTGGCTCATCTTTGGGGTTCGTACCTATTTTTTCCACACTTTGGTAGCAAACAGATATCACCACGTGATTCTACGGTGAAAAAAATTATAAGAAACCATGCATATTTTACATGCCGGCTTCGGAATAAAAATCGGCTATTTTTTAATATACTATTTTAGAAGAATAAGTTTAATAATTAAATATTACTGAATTGGTCTATCGTAATATTTTCCGTGAATGCACGATAATAATATAAGTGACACATTTTAAATTAAATAAAAATTAAAACATAATAACACCAAAATACATTACACGAATGTAAAGTCACACAAGATGTTAAGACAACGGTAAGAAAACACACATAGTTTTTATGTTATAAAATTATAAATCCACTTTTAAAAAAAGCGTGTTACCTGAGTGAATTTCGTTTGTATCGTAAAATTGAAGCCTTTTTTCCGCGATGCCGATTGGCTATCTCGATTGATTGCCGCGCCGTAGCTTGCTTCATCCCGTGAGGGATTGTCATCGCGGAGTGTGGCGAGTTTCGTGCGTGTAGTGCGTCGTGTGTGTCATGATGTGACAGCTCGCGTCGTGTCGCGAGGTTAATCGTCCCGCGTTGTGTCGCGATTATTATATAATAGCATAATGTTAAAGCTAAATAGCGCGCGCGTCTGTAGTGTCTAGTCATTTAAAAAGTAGACCGAGGCAAATCGGATTACTAATTAGGACGATAAAATAGCTCGTTTAAAATAAAACATTAACGAAAATTGTCTTATATTAATCCGATTCGCCTCAATCTACCCTAAGTTATTTGATGGATAGCCGATCCTCAAAACCAATCCTCAAAAATTTTAAATTTGACGTTTTCGAACATAAGCAACACATTGGCATCGAAAACTCAAAAAACAATTTTTACTTCGGTCTTTTCTACCCCTATTTCATATATAATTCTTTTAAATTCAGTTGATTAGACTTAGCTTTATATGCGATCAAAATTATGGACCTTTGATCGCGTATAAAGCTGGATCTAATCAACCAAATCTTAAAAAATTATATATGAAATAGGGGTAAAAAAGACTAAAAAATATAATAAAATTAGAAATAGATCGATATCTCCAAATTAGCGGAAGTTAAAGCAACCACAGACATTTCTAAAAAAATTCAAAAATTTTTTAAAAAAGAACCCCTTTACCGATTATCGCCAAATTTAATACCAATTTTCTTTGAATGATATTCTATCGATTAAAAAAAAACATCCCGATATCTCAATATTTGCGGAAGTTAGAGCAACCACAGACATTAAATCTGCACACACACACACACACACACATACGGACATTTTTTTAGGCGATGTTTCAACGTTTTACAACAATCTGAACATATTGGCAGAAGAAACTCAAAAACCAATCTCTTCGTTGGTTTCTTCTACCCCTATTTCATATATAATTTTTTTAAATTTGGTTGACTAAACCCAACTTTTTATACGCAACCGAAGGTTCATATACGAAATTCACGAAAATTAAATTAATTTTGATATGTTGAATTATTTAGTCATTGGATAAAATAAATTGTGATTTTTGCTTATTCGATGTTAGGAAGCAAGAATAAGATGATCCGAAATGTCTAAAGAAAATATCACGTAAAAGTTCGAGTCAACAATAAAAGGAAGAAAAGAGTTATTCAACATAAAAGAAATGTCCAATGTCGACATTCATATTTAGATAGTTTTAAGAATAAAGGTTGTAATATTGAAAATTTTTTTTCCTTTTTCACATATTAATTGATGAAGAAATTAACACTCACTCACTCACTCACTCACTCACTCACTCACTCACTCACTCAC